TTGAACATTATTTATTCTAAAGAATAATTATTGTTGGGCCCCCTGGTGCGCGCCCCCCCTGCGCCGCCTAGGCCGCAGCTACATTTTCATCATTTTCGTGAGGAAGCCTCAGGAAAACGATGTGATCAGATCCGGTTGTTTTGTTGTAATCCGCTTTCCCTTGCAAAAAACACTATAAAATGACATTTCTTGTTCTAATATAATCAAATTTCAAGAATCCCTTGCAAAAAATAAGGTAAAGTGGACATTCGCGCGCGCAAGACGAAATCCTTCCAAAACCTTAGTGTTCGCAGCGATTTTAACATAAAAACATCAAAAAACCAATGGTTTTTCAACAAAAAATTGTCAAAATCTCATCCCGCGCGCTCTTGCGGATTCGTAGGAAACCCAACACTTTTTAAACATTTCTGTCAAACGGGCTTTTGCGAGCAACTTTTTCGAACTTCTGCGACAACGGTTGCGCACCTGCCAGGGCCATCATCCCTGTCAAATAATACCATGCGGGACACATTCGTTTTTTCTTCGCGCGCGCACGCCGTCGTCGTCGGCCGCGGGGCCCTGAATAGTAGCCACGGTCGTCCGCATGCCACGAAGTGAAGTGTCCGAACGTCATAGGGCGGGAAGCTGGGTGTGGGTGGTGGCGAAGAGTCGTTTGGAAATTTGGTAGAGCTTGAACCGGCCCCCCCACAAAGTGGGGGTATTGCCCGCCTCCTATGAAAACCCTGGCACTGGTGAGAACGGAGTGTCCCCACGTGCTAGTAATTGTTGTTGTTGTTGTTGTTGTTGTTGTTGTTGTTGTAGTGGTAGTGGTAGTGGTAGTGGTAGTGGTAGTGGTAGTGGTAGTGGTGGTAGTAGAAGTCTGCGCCTTTCCGAGACAGACGCAAAACACATAGAGAAGGGAGGAAGCGAGGGCTGGCGGAGCTGGCGGCAGCCCCCGCGGCTGACCCTGCCCTTGCCCTCCCGCGCGAACTCTGGCCACAGCTCGGACACCCGCGCGTCCTGGTCTCTCCCGCGTGGGAGGCTGCTCGGGTCCCCGGGAGGGGGGGGGTCTCGCAGGCAGGGAGGCGCCGCGGGCGGGAGCGGCGCCTCCCAGCGGGGGTGCGAGCAGATGGGGTGGGAGGATCGCGCCGCATCGCGGATGCATCGGCGGCGTCGGCACTTCACTGGGGACATCCGGTTGGAGGACATCGGGCTCTGCGTCGTGCCGCGTCGCCGATACGTCGGCGATGCGGCGCGATCCTCCGACCCCATCTGCTCCAGCCCCATTTTGGAAGCCTGGAGTCCTGGAGGGAAGCGGCACGGGCGTTGCCGTGGGGAGCTCGGATCCTTCCCTTCCTCCCTCTTGCCCCTCTCTCGCTTTCCCTTCCATTATTCTCCCTTCCGCGCGGCGTTTTTCAACATGTTTTCAAGCCTAGGAGGGAGCGGGCGCCAGGGTGAGCATGAGGGGGAGGAACCGGACCTTCCAGGAGGGCTCGACCAGGCCGAACCAAGCCGAGGCTTCCCTGGCTGTTCTAATAGGTCGATGGGACAGTGTTCGCACTCTGCGACGTCTCGGGGGGAGAGGGGGAGGATGGGGAAGAGGAGGGGGGAGGAAGAGGGCGGGGACAGGAGGGGGTGGAACAGGGGGAGGGGGGGGCAGCAGGAGGACAGGATGACTGCGTGGCTCACCCCCGCAACGCGGAAACCACCATGCGTTTGCGTCCGTCTGCCGGCGCCCCCGCGGGGCCTTCGGAGCAATCGCCGCCGGAGGCGCAGGGCGAGGAGGAGGAGGAGGAGGCGGCGGGGGGAGCGGCCAAGAGGAGCAGGAGGGGAGCAGAGCGGTGTGGGGGGGGGGAGCAGGAGAAGCAGGAGGGGCGGAGGGGGGAGCGGCCACAAGGCGGAGGGGGGGCGGGCACGAGGAGCAGGAGGGGAGCAGGGCGGTGGGGGGGAGAGTACAGCCAGAGCAGCACCCAACGCTGACGACAGCGAGAGGAGGGGGAAAGGGAACGGGAAGACGGCGGGGGGAAATGGAGCGGAAGGATGGGGCGGGAAAAACTGGGGGGGGGGAATGGGAGCGGGAGGGCGATGAGGAGCGGGGGGGAACCATCCGTCGCCTCCCCCTGCGGGCCTCCCCATCCTAATCCTCCTGCTTCGGAGCATCCCTCTTGGCCTTCCCCTGGGATCCCCCGAATCCCTCTTTGGCCCGCCCCCCCCGCCCCACAGCAGACGCTAGGCACTCACGAAAAAACGCCGTGTGAACACAGCTACCACGACTCAGAAATAGCGGACGAACAACCAACCATGGAAAGGGAAGGGAGGGGAAGAGATTACTCTCAAAACTGTTCCCTGTTCAACCTGGCCTCCACCCTGGCCTGGATAGGGCGCGGCGACGGCACCGTGTAGGCAGCGTCGCGCGTGCGCGGGCGGAGAAACTGAAGGGAAGGGCACGAAGTCGAACACTTCCAAACCATGCGCCATACGTAATGATGGGTAGCTTGCGATAAAGAGTCGGACCCCTTACCTTGGAGGGAACGGGGGAACTGTCCGCAAAGCTTTTTGCCGGAGGTACACTTTGTCAAAACAGTGGGCCACAGCACTGGCGAGGAGAATGATCGAACGCGACGAAGATTCGGTGAGCGACACATGCTGCACACAGCGAAATGCGCCCACATGGGCAAGGCTGGGCCCGCGGCGTGCAATCATTGATGGTCGCGGCGAGGCGCAATCGCGACCCAGGAGGTACGCGGCCACGGGGGGGGGAGGGGGATCGGGAACAGGGGTGGGATCAAGACGTGAAACAAAATGGCGACAAGGTGGAGGATCGCTGCTTTAGCTACAACTCCTCACGGGCTGGTTAGATGATGCAGCAGCGGCTGGCACTGCTGCGACCTGAAGGCACCTGCCGGGCGTTGCTAGAAAGGTGTCCGGAGCCCGAGGTGCCCTCAGCTTGGCGCTCAATTTTTGAGCGCCAGGGGGCCCGCTGGGTCCTGTGAGGGGCGATATGGAGGCCAGGGGCGCCTCCTTAAACATCCTGAGAGCACCCTGGGCCAGGGGCGCTTCTAGCAGCGCCCGAAACTGTGAGGGAGCCCGGCGCGTCCCGAAGGCAGCGTAGCGAGGGAGGTGGCAAGCGAACGCCAGCATCAGGATGGGCTCGCCCTGAGCCCCCTCCGAGATGAGGAAGCAAACGACGACGACGAGGGGCCAGCGCGCCGAGAAAGAGCGCCGCCCCTGAGGCTCTGCAGGTAACGGAGCGAAGGCAGGCGGACAAGAGGGCGAGAAGAGGGCAAACCAATTCAGGCCCCATCTCTTTGCGGCGGGGCCGGCGCAAGGGCCCGCGCAATGCGGCATCTCCGCGCTCAGGCACGGAGTCGGCCACGCGCGGCGGCGCGGGCGGCGCGGGGTGTGGGGCGGAGGCAGCGAAGAGAACAGAAGACAGAGTACACGCTGTCGGCGCGCGGGATAACATTTATTCGGAAAGGCGCGCGCGCGCCAGCGGCGGGGGAGAAGGGCGGAGAAAACGCCGGCGCCCCATGCCGCGGGCATACGAGGCAGAGAATAGCGAACGTGATCAATTATGACTGGACGCTGAACGTAGTGGTCGAATCGATCTGCCGCTAAGTTTTGGCACCCAAAGACACGGGGACCGTTCTGCTGACGAGATCCCCCGGCGCGGGCCCACAGCTTACGCGTCGAATCCAAAAGCGCAGCGTGAACGCATGGCGAGGGCCTCTGTCCTACAACTCAGAGCCCCATCATAATGGCGTCGACATCGTTCCTGCTGACATTGATGTTACACTTCCGAAAACGGGGGCCGACCGCATCCCGGGCGGAGAACCTCAATGCCTAGTTTTCGACGGTCGCTGTAACATTTTTTGTGCGTACATGTGGGCATCAGTGGACGGGGCCATAAAGGGGGGTCTGGCGAGCCTTGCGGGCGTTGCACATCTAGAAATAGATGGCCCCCCTGATATCCCTGGTATCACTTGCTTGCGATAATCTAATCACCGAGTTCTTCGCGCTGATGTAATTATTATACGAGCTCCTGGGGAATATCAGAGTGAGAACCAGCGTGAACCCTGCGCGCCCTGGAAAAAATGAATCGACCGACGTTCTCTGTTCGATCCCGATGTTGGCGGCCGTCAGAAGGAACTTGGGAGGGAAACTGGACTTCAAGGCCCACGTCAGTAGCTGGCGCGTTTCCCGCCCTGGGGCCAGGGAGCCCTCAGCATCGGCGTGGAACTGGCCCGCGCGCGAGCAGACATGCGCGGCGCGCATGCTTCAGGCGGTGACGGACGCCGTGAGACTTGCTGCGAGAGCTTTGACTCCTCCGCCCCGTGCGCGGAGCTCCCGGCCAACGCGCAGCTGGGCCTTCTTGGGCGCCGCGAGACCATATGCCACCCTCAGACGCATTCCTGAGTTCACTATGTGCCATCCTGCGGCCTGGCGCATTCTGGGAACTTCCTCGGGTTCAGAGTCTCTTGGAATGGTCGGCCCGCACTTTGGGGCATCCAGCGGCGAGCCGCAGCGCGGCGCGGCAGCAGTTGCAATCTCGGCGACGCGCGGCAAGACGCTGACAAGGCTGCCCGCTGCACTGGCCAGGTCGTCAGCAAAAGCGGCTGGGGAGACACAATGGTGAGCGCTCAACTGGGAGATGGCACGAATGAGCGGGTCGAACGAGAAGGCGAATAAAAGGCCGCTGAGAGGGCCCGCATGCTCGCCCCCGCGTTGAGACCGAAAACCACCCACATCGCATCCACGTCTATGACTACGAAATCGCACACGTCGGTACAGGGCACGAATACCATCGATGATCGAGGGGTAGAGATTCCAGCGCTGGAACGCCAAAACATGGCGAGAGATGGTGGAACCATATGAAAGCACACTTCATGGCAAAGAGCGCCCCATCCAGCTGTCTTCGAATTGTCGAGGGGTCGCCGCGTCGTCGCTCCCCTATCCAATTTCATGATTTTATCGGCTGAAGACCACCCGCCAATAAACCTCCCTTGGGTGATGTCGAGCTCGTCTCTGGCCACCTGCGCGAGCGGGTGGGTGACTACCTACCAGGCCACCCCAGCCCAACCCGAAGACCCGAATTTCGGGTTGGGGGGGGCATGGGTTCCATACGTGTTTTGTCGATGTTCCCCGACCCCCCCCCCCCACTGGAAATGGAGGGCAAATTGAGGCCTTCGGGTTGGGTTGGGGTGGTTTGGTGGGTGGTGAGTGGGAGATTCATGTTGGGGTGAGCTCGTTGTCCGTGTTATTCGAGGAAATCGGGCGCGCTTCTCCCCGCGCGGGAGCAATTGCACAGCGGGCTTCAGCCCCCGTCGTTCCAAACATGCAAGCTGAGAGAAAGGAGATCTGGCGACAACTGCTGGGCTTTCACGAATGCAGGATAGCGCTCCCGGGATGCCTCCCGAAACAGCGGGCGCGGGCGCCGCCGGGCGCCACGAGGGCTGCCGTCGGGCCCTGGGCGAGGGTCGACCATGGACTTCGCGGCGAAGTCCAACTGCTACGCGGAAACAATCCAGGGGAACATCCGGCGGGGGGGGGGGGACAAACTGGCGGGAGTCGCTGGGGCGGGGGGGGGGGGGGGGGCCAAGGGACCTGGCGGCGGCAGAGAAGTCACTCCCCCCCCCTGAGAAACATTCGACCCCAATAATCTGACTGCTGGTTGCCCATGTCGGCGCCATCATGGATCTGGCTCCCTTTGCCGTCAGCGACGGCGGACAGAAGGCGCTTGGAGCGGCCCCTGGGCCATGCCTTCGCCAGCCTCCGATTTCTTGTGCTCTGCTACTTTTCCAACATCCGGGAAGCCCCCCCAAATGCAAACATAGACCAGGGCGATGAGACCATTCGTGCTGAGCGATTTCGCAGCGTCTACTTAGCTGAGGACACGCCGAGAAAGTTGGAATCGTCAGGGAGAAAAACAGATGTGGCCCCCATTGGCCACATATAATACTTCACTCGCTGGAATTGACGGAGGAGCTCAAGGCGGGAGAGGCCAGTGGCAACGTGCACATTCATAATGAAAAGTGAAGCGCGGGGCCCATGTAATCCCAAGCCCGCGACGCTCCCCTTCGCGATCACAGAACAAGGCTACGCGCTCGAACTGATATCACAACGACTTACTCATTTTCGTGACTACACCTCCTGCGCCGGATAATTCTCGGAAGCTTCAACATTCATGTGGTCGTTGCAGTCCCTCTCAAGCGCAAACCCGTCACCTCTCGCGCCGTGCGTCTTGCAGAATTAAGACATCGTGCTCGCGCGTGTGACATCCCGCGCACTGATGCGCATGATATTGCGTGCTATGGCTATCCCAAAGAAACCCACATTCGGCGTGGGCGTCCCATGTCGCTGGCGAAAGTTACGAAGATGGAGTGAACGGCGAGCCCCCAGGACCACAATCGCAGACATCGCTCGTGCTGGAAGTGGAGCTGGAGTCGGAGCTGAAGTCGTTGCTGGAGTCGGAGGAGGAAAGGGTGGGGGCTGCGCCGTGGCACAGCACGCTGGGACTGATTTGACAGGGAGGCAGGCATTCAAGAGAACATGTCAGCATCATTCACCCAATTGCCTGCATGCTCCTGGGCCTCCAGGATGTTAGCGATGCCATCTTTGCTGATGTTCTAGGTGGCGAGTTCGCCGTAGTGCGGTTCCAGTATGACATGTTCCTCACCTCAACGAAAACCGCGAATTATAACGGATATCGGACCCCATACATCCGCGTCGGTCTTGAACCTCCCGCGGGAAGCGTCGATCCCCAGGACGCACCAGGACGACCATTTGGGCGATTTTAGCAAAAACAAAAAAACTCACGCATGGGGAGGTACAGCCTGTGGAAGGCCCTCTTCATGTCCCTCACTGACTGTGGAATGTCTTCTCGAACTCTGAGCTGATGCTGGACACCCGAACGAGGGCCAACCCACGCAAGGCCAATGCGATTTGCTTGTTTGTGAAGGCCGGCAGCCTTAACCCTGCTGTCGAAGGTGACCGGGTAGCTCTGAGCGATGGAGAAGAACTTGGGGGTCGCTTTGGTCAAGGGCTGCTGGCAATTGGCTCTGAGGCTGTTGAAATGATGCCGACGAACGCGTCCGAGGATAAGGCGGGAAAGTGGCCAATGAAACTGGTGCATGCGCCTCCTCCAAGATCGACGCTTGGAGCCACCCGTGTTGACGATGCGCGTGCGCCATGAGCTGGGTGCTCCTGATGTGGGGGACGTGCCTGGAGAGGCTGGCCTGGACCTCATGTCCTGGATCTCTTGCTCACATTTCTTCGAAAAGGCGGTGGGCTTTCGCTGTGATGTGCATCTCCGCGTTGCCGACTTGGGTCGATCACCACAACGGAATGGACAAGTGAATTCTGGTTTCGTACCGATGGACTGCTGATAATCGGCCATGGACTTCTGGATGGCAGATGTGAATTGGCCAACCACGTTCTGTTCCTCCACGGCGGGAGCGAAGGGAGGCTGAGTGGGCGCGAGAAGCGGGAAAGTAGAAGCGCCCGCTTGCGCTTGACCCGTGGATTGCTCCTAAGGTGGAGCTGCCCACTCGAGTGAGCTGGGGGACCTGGCTGCCCGGCCCCTGAAAACGGGTCTGACGGCCTGCTCCCCTCGCGCGGACGTCACACAGCGCACTTCTCTTCCTGGTTCGATCCCCCTCCCCCTCCACGGGCACAGGCCCCAGGGGGGGGGAACCATCGCCAGGATGGATCAAACGCCAAGGGCTCGGAACTCGAACCTTCAAGGAGGAACGCAGCGCACGAGGGAGATGCCCAGCCCTCACCGCGCACCCCCCGGAGGCGGCGGCTGCGCAGGTCGGGGCAGAGGGGCGGCAGCGAAGACGATGCGGCAGCCCTTCTTTGAGCGTGCAGCGGAGGGTCGAAAGCAGGGCACTGGAAGGAGACGTGCCGAGAGCGCGTTGAAAGATCATCGGCGATGACGGGCGTCAGGGGGGTGGGGGGGCGGGGGGTATGACGTAAGGCCCCCCCCCTCCCTCGTGTGGCTCGGGCACCACAGCCGCGCCCGCGTGCACGACGACGATGAGAGACGAACGACGAACGACGAGCGATGAGCGACGACGACGACGACGCGAGCAGCATGTAGGTGGCGATCTGTCCCACAGCGCCCGTGTACACCACAGTGCTCGCGTGCACCGCAGCGTTTGTTTACACAACGCCTGCGTACACCGCAACAGCCGCGTGCAACGCAGCGCCTGTGTACACCACAGTGCCTGCGTGCACAAAAGCGCCAGTGTACATCACAACGAATGTGTACACCGCACCAGCCATGTGCATCACAGCGCCTGTCCACACCACAATGCTTGCGTGCACCGCAGCGCCTGTGCACAACACAATGCCTGACTACACCACAGCACCCGCGTGCAACGCAGCGCTGGTGTACACCAGAGCGCCTGCGTACACAGGACAGGTAGGGTGAGGATCTGCTGCGGACAGCTTCGCCCCAATCCAGAGAAGCGCTGATAATACAATGCGACGTTGTTACCTCATCCCTCCTCCACCTCCGCCTCCTACTCCTCCTCGTCTTCCTCGAAGTCGTCCTCCTCCTGCTCCTCCTCCTCCTCCTCCTCCTCCTCCGCCGCTCTCACCCTTCCCCCCTGTCGTGCGGGTCGGAGCTACAGCGCACGTGCGCAACTCAACACCGCAGAAGGTCTATTGAATCAATCCACGTGGTTCTCGGACGGCCAATTTAGCTGGAGCCTCCTGGACTCATATGGGAGGAGCTGGGATGATGCGGGCGGACTCTGGAAGACTCGTAGATTCCAGCGGCGCTCCTTTTTCCATAAGGATTCCGGTCCAAACCCTATGTAAAACAATTGATTTCTGTTGAATACAAAAGCGCTCAATTTTGTCATAAGGATTCCTTATCACATTCTATATGCATCAGTGGTGTTTTGTTGCACGCGGTTGCTGTGGTGCACACAGGCGCCGTGGTGTTCACAGGCGCTGTGGTGCACGCAGGCATTGTGGTGTACACTGGCGCTGTGTTGCACACGGCTGATGTGTTGTACGCAGGCGCTGTGGTGTACACAAGCCCTGTGGTGCCAGCAGGCACTGTGGCACACACTGGCGCTGTGTTGCACGCGGCTGCTGTGGTGTACATAGGCGGTGTGGTGTACACAGGCGCTGCGGTGCACGCAAGCACTGCTGTGTACATAAGCTTTTTGGTGCAGATCATCACCCACATGCTGCTGCGACCCGTCCTCGGCCATTCCTTGGCATTCCCAGACGCCGCTGGCGCGAAACGTGACGTCATAGGCCCCCTGCCCCCCCCAGATGATTGCCGTCATCGGCCCGGATTTTTTTTATATAGATAAAAAAAGGCTCCGGCTGCGCCCGCGCGCACGACGACGATGAGCGACGAGCAACTAGCGACGAGCGACAACGACGACGACGACGATGACGGCGGCGACGACGACGACGAAGACGACGACGACGACGACAACGACGACGACGACGACGACGACGACGACGACGACTGCGGACCGGACGCCTATGCGGATTCCTATGCTGGCACCTATGCGGATCACGATGCGCACGCCGGCAATGCCAGGAACGCACTGGGGGGGGGAGCGTTACGCCATTGGGGGGGGGCGGGGGCCATGACGCCTGTCATGCCCCAAGCAATCAAGAAGCGCGCTCCGAGGAGGACCCAGAGGAGGAGCACCAGGAGGCCAGGGGATAGCAACGTCCGACGAACTCGATTTCTGGCATTAGCGGTGGGAAAAGGGGTCCTGAGGGAAACGGGTCCTGGACACCGGGGCCTTCTCCCAAGACGAAGTCCTCATTCCGAATCGCTTTTTGGCAGCCCCGGGGCCAAGGGAGGGCCCCGAGAACCCGAAAACGGCAAAAACGTACCCGTTACCATCAGGACCCGTTTCCTCCATCCTCCTCCTCCTCCTCCTCCTCCTCCTCCATCCTCCATCCTCCATCCTCCATCCTCCCTCCTCCAACCTCCATCCTCCATCCTCCATCCTCCAACCTCCATCCTCCATCCTCCTCCTCCTCCTCCTCCTCCTCCTCCTCCTCCTCCTCCATCTACAGCTCGTGGCTCGTGGCAGGAGGCCAGAGGCCCGAGTGCCGGCGCCCCCGCGTCCAGCTGCCGCTGCGGGCCCTTCGCGGACAGGGCGCGCAGGAAGCAGAGCACCTCGGCCGCCAGCGCAGCAGCACGAGGGAGGGGAGGGGAGTGCGGGAGGGGGGAGCGGGGCACGTCCCTGACGGGGCCCAGGGGCACAACAATGAACAGGCACAGGTCCCAGAATTCCATACCTTTCTTTCGAATCCATACTCTTAGATGTGATCCTCCCCGTTTGTTCCGCATCCACCCGAGTCGACGTTTATGTGTGTCTGTGCTTGTCTCTCTCCTGAACTCTGTCCTGATGCATGGGCGATGCGGCGCGATTCTCCAACCCATCTACTCGGACCCCATTTGGGAGGCCGAGATTTTCCCTTATGGACACAGCCTCGCTCTCGTACGTCGAGACACGTTTGCACGGTTGACCAGGCGTTCCACCGGAGACTTCCTCGACTTGGACTCTACAGCACCTGCACGGATGTCGGCCTGAGCGCCGCGCACCTTCGTCCTACAAGCTTGCAGCAATCAGCGGGTGTCTGGGGGAGTTTGCTACATGTACAAGGATGGAGGACAGCTCCTTCTCAAAATGGAGCTCTCGCCTGAGCGCCGCGCGCACACTCGTCTCAAACGTTGACAACAATTTCGGGCATGGTGAGCGATGTTTTATCACAGTGGAGCTCTCGCTTGTGACCTCTGGAAATCTAGAGGACCAAATATGGGACAATGGAAACGACTGCCCCGATAGAGGGCTGTTCCTCCTCTATGGGGCCATCGCTTCAGAAGTCCTCGGAATCGCCGATGGCCAGACGCGCAACCTTGCGCAACAAACAAACCGATGTTGCGGTCCTTTTTCAAACTGCACACCTGGATGCGCCAGCTGATCCTTCCTGTCATATACAGATCTCCACCTAATTGCAGGCCAGCGAGAGCTGGTCTCAAGGGGGCACTTCTTGTAGTAAAGGGGAAATCTTGTAATGACTCAAGAGGAAGGGGACTTGGGATGACAGGGTGGATTGCAGCATCGTTGATGCTTACTCGGGTCTTCCCTCCTCCTCCTCCTCCCTCCCCCTCTCCCCCTCCTAATCGTCTTCTTCTTCCTCCTCCTCCTCCTCCTCGTCCTCCTCTTCCTCCTCCATTCCGCCTCCTCCCCCTCCTCCTCGTCCTGTCCCCTCCCCGCCCGTCAGGATAGGCGCGTGCCAATTCGATGATGCATCGTGCACTAATCGGCGCCGCTGTTGCCCTCTTCCCCGGCGTTCCGCCGCCGCTCCCCAAGTCCGTGCGACGGCGACGACGGCGACGGCGACGACGACGGCGACAGCGACGGCCAGGGCGACGGCGACGGCGACGGCGACGAAGGCGAAGGCGAAGGCGATGGCGACGACGGCGACAGCGACGGCGACAACGGCGGGGACGACGGCGGCGAGGACGGCCGCTGAGCGCGCTGCCAGCACCCCGACGCCGACGTCCAGCAGCGGCATCAGCGTCCCCTCGCGGCGCGGGCGCGGCCACCCCGACGGTTCGGTGGCAACGCACGGGAGCCTCCCATGCCGACTTGCCGGCTCTTGCGAATCGATGCTATCCGACGCTAATCGACGCTGCATCGACGCTAAACGACACTAAATCGGCGCTTCCTCATCGATTGGCGAGCGCTGGCGCACGCTAGTGCACCCTAAAGCTAAGAAGGGGACAGCGAGGACATGCAAGGCACCCGTGATTTGCTTGCGAACGACGGGGACACTCGGCAGGCCTGGAGCTCAGGCCGAAACAACGAAGAAACGCTCATCCCGCCGCCGTCCCCTTGCGCCGGTCTCGCGCGAGAGGGGATCGCTCTCCCTCTCTCACGACATACACCTAGAAGGATTACCATAAAAAGATGCGTGTGACCATTAACTGGCGCCCGGTGTCTTGATCATAGAAAAGGTATCATCCCCTGGGGGGCGAGTCTGCATCCCCATGGATATTGCGTCTCCCCAAACAAGGCCCGTGCCCCAACCGATGGAACCGGGACTCCACGCCGCATCGCTGGCCAAGCTCCCAGGCAGGCCTGTGCTGCCCGGCGGGAGGGGACAGGTAGGGGAGACGCAGACAGGCGGCGACGAACGCGCAGGCGGGGGGGGGAGGCGGGGGCCAGCGGAGCGGGCGGGCAGGCGGGAGCAACCAGCCTCGGATTGATCCTCATCCCTAAGATCGGCAAGCCCAAGGCGATGCCAACCTCAGGGCTGTGCCCTCTGAAACTGGGGGAATCCTCAAGACCGGCACCGCGGTTAGGCAACCGTCAGTGGACCGCCCTCCGCTCCCTCAAACTCAAAGTTGGCACGCGCGGGGGAGACTGCGGTCGAAGCGTAGCTCGTTCAGCCCACCGCAGACATTGATCATCAAGGGGGGGCGTTGACGGATGAATGCGGCATGAGTGCTCGCCAATTCCTTGCGAGCCCCGTATGGCTAGGGACCCGTGCCAAGCTGGCCACGGCGGGAGCCGGGCCTCCGCCGCCCTCCGCCGAGCTTCCGCCGCGCCCTCCACTCGAGCTCGGCGCCCCCGCCGGCCTCCGCCCTGCCGCCGCCCTCGCCGCCCGCCGAGGACGAGGGGCCCACTCCTCCGAGCCCTCTCGGCGGGCGCGGCCCTTGCAGGCACGGCCCCACGCGAGCGACGGAAAAAGCAGCGGGCCCTGGGCACGCGTGCGAGACGGCACAGCGGCCGCCGGCGCGGTGGCCTGCGCGGGCCGCCAGCGCGGCACGCCACGTCGTAGACGAGGGCGCTCGCGCGCGACCGTCCGCGCCACTGTCGGCGCAATGGGCCCCGGTTCCCTTAGTCGCTCCTGTGCGTCCAGCTCCCGCCCGTGCCCGCCACGTCGCGTGCCTCCCGCCACGCCGAGGGGGGCGCGAAGGGTGGCCCGAGAAGCGCAGAGGCCCCTCCGGGCCGAAAGAGGGCTTCGCTTCGACGCCGCGACTGTGCATTGCCCACTGCCTCCTCCCAGTTTCCCTCCGCTCTCCTGCCGCTCCTCCCCCGGAGCCGATTTGGCGGCACGCATAAGGAGGCTGCTTAGACGCAGGGGTGTTTCTAAGAAGCCTTCCCCCCTCCACCTACCCTCTCTGCACATGGCTGACCTGCATTAGACACACACACACATCAGGATATTCTACCGTAAGAGATCTTCGGGCACATTATCTGTGTATCTCTGGGGGACCTGAAGTGCCCCAGAGCTTCTATGGGTCCCTGGCACCGTCGGGGGATGATACATGTCCGTTGGGCGCCTGCTGGCTGGCTAATCTCTATGTTGGTGCGTCTATTGTACAGCTCCTCGTCTCCGCAAACTCTCACACATTCCGCGGTTGCCCTTCGCCATCTCTCACGCCCCTGGAGGCCTCCCACATTGGATCTGAGCAGATGGGATTGGATGTTCGCGCATCGGCAATGCATCGGTGATGCCGGCGATGCATCGGCCCCGTCTGCGTTGAGGGGCTCCACTTCGCGCCGCATCGCCGATGCATCGGCAAGGCCGCCGATGCATCGGCAAGGCCCCATCTGCTCGGACCCCATCTGGGAGGCCTGGAGATTCCTCCGTAAGCCGCACCGGTACGCAACACGTAACCCGTAGCGTGTTTACACGAAGCCCAACACGGAAATCGAAGACGTACGTCTGACGAGAAAAACTCGCCAAAAAAGTGGGCCGACACTTGCCGAGCCAACACGCACCGTGTTAAACACGGAGGTTTTTTGAACATGGTACGTGATGCGTTTCAGAACGAGCGTATCAGGGCAGCTTCCCCCATGGGAGCTCGACCAGACTCGCGGCAGAGAAACAAGCACCGCCTCGGTGACCTGCGCCCCGGCGTGCGCGATCCGCCCGAAGGCGATGTTGCAAGACCAATCTCCTGGCCAACGGATGGGGCGGCCGCGATAGATACCATGCATTGACATACGCACGTGAATGTGTATACGTGTACGGTCGGAATCTTTTGCTTAGAGTGTCGCGGCGGCGGCCCTGACGACGCGCTATCCCTTGGAAGCGGAGTTAGCGTGCCGCTCAGCTCCGCGGGGCGGGAGGCTGAGAAAAGCTGGGGACATTGACGCCTGGGGACGGGGAAATGGCTAGCGTGTCACACCGAACCGTGGTAGGCCAGAACTGGCGGAACGACACGCCAAGCCAAAGTTCCTGACTGTATGACTGCGTATATGTGTAGATCTTGTCGACTCCGAAGGCCTTGGCTGAAAACAACAGGTCAACAATTCAATTTCACTTCAGCCGGTTACCGTCAGCGGACCTGCTGACGTTTTACGTCTGCTAAGTTCCGCCGAGGGAGAGATGAGCCGAAGCGAGACACTTCCCTGGAACGCACCGTGTGGACACCCTCCTCCTAGGCAAACACACAGCATAACACCAAGACAACACACATGGTCTTGAGGCAAGAGGCAGATGCGGATACGAAGCGGGCGATGACGGCGGCCAAAAGACGCGCGGTTTCCCTGACCGCCGCCAGGCCAGAAAGCCTCCTCCCCTAGAGAGGTCGAAAGAACCAAGGAGATTCGACGCGAGGGCAAAGCCCGGGGGAATGGAAGTGCGGCGGGTGGGCACGAGCACACCTGGATTTGATGAGCATGGCGCAAGAGACTCCTGGAGGGAGCGGGTCCTGGACCTCGGGGGGCTTCCCCCAGGGCCAGATTGTCCTCCGAAGTCGTCGTGTGGACGGTCCCGGTGCAGGGGGGCGGGGCCCCCATGGGGCCCAAAACGGAGGAGCGACCACCAGGACCCGCGTCCCCTGAGGACCCCTCGCATTCGTGCTGACGCTCGCCTCCAGCTCCTGGGATGGCGCCCATCCCCGGACCTCTCCCGGGGTGCGTTCTGACATGCATGTCGAAGCGAATCCGGCGGTGGCGTCGAGCGGCTCCCAGGAAGCCCAAAGAGGAGGAAGCGAGGGAAGGGCAGCGGCAT